ATAATATCCAGTATCAATAATAGTTAGTGTACGTAAATGCATCTTTAAGATTTAACTCCTGAGTTTAGTGTGACTACGAATTCTTCGATCTCCTTTACAATATTCTGAAAAAGAAGGAAGAAGGACATGACAAAGAACAGATTTAGTCAAGCGCACAAAGAACAATACGTAAATAAATATAAACATACAAAAACAGCAGACTATGGCCAGGGACAAGATCACTCCCGTGATAGACTACAATTTCAATGCGAATTTGTAAACTAAACATGAGATTGTAGTCCATCACAGGACGAGCTTGGAGTGGTGACTACATTACAACACACACAGGGACCATGGGGGACAAAAGTAGCCACCCTCCAGAAGGAAGGACAGTGTCGGCACCAATTCAGAGATGATTGGAGGATCTACAGCCGAGTGATACACAAATAAGATACATTACTGTTAATAGTTAAAGTACTTGAATGCATTTTGAAGATTTAATTCCTGAGTTTAGTGACACTTTAGGCTGGCCATACATAAGTAGCATTCTATTCGAAAAAAATGTATGCTCAGAACATTCGTTTGATTTTCTAATTGTTAATGGGATCAAATTGATGATCTCTTCCTGACAAAAAAAACGAAGGAGCAGGATGGAGAATTGTTCTTGAACAAAACAAAATTGTAAGAGTGAATGTGGCTTTAGTTGGGGAAACGCCATTCATTCCAAAATCAAAATGTTAAACGCAAACAAAATTTTGAACGATATTCATCATGTCTCTGATGGCATTACTGAATGTTCTGACAAGAGTGTTTTTCAAATGAACGTTTGAATGTACGCCATTTGCAGTGCGGAGGGGCACTGAGGCCGGAGTGTCCATACCAGACACTCCGTCCTCAATGCAGCTTACCACCTCCCACAGCTGCTGCACCTGTCACACAGCAGTACTGTGAAACTGTCAAGTAGTTTTCCTAGTGGTCGGTGAAGCCTCATAGGGAAGCTGAGGGACTAAGGGCTTCTTTATACCATGTCTGTTGAGCTGCAGTTTTCTACACACCACCACACATGTATGGTGTGAGCCAGGAACAATTAAAACAATTATTTCCTATGTGCCCTGTTCATACCTGATGGGGAACTATTCCCTTGGCATCCTCAACAGTCTGCTCCCACTGTCAGTGTCACAGGTTGTTAAGGATACTCTCGGCTACACCTGATTGAAAACCAGTCCCTCAGCATCCCTATTAGGCTCCGACCACTTATCCCCCACTCAATTCAACTGCGGCTCAGGAGAAGTCCTGGCTGACAGCAGAATATAAACAAAGGGGTGGGCGATGCTGGCTGACATAATTACCAAAATATAGCCATGGCCCTATTTCAGTAATGATGTCAGCCAGTATCTCCAGGCCCAGTGTTTGGAGAATCTGCCAGCTGAATGGGGACATGTATTAGTCATTGGTTGCTAGGATGCTGGCAATGTCCTACCAAAGAAGCTTTGGTTTATTGACAGATTTATGACAGCTTCCTAGCACATACATAACCCTCTCTGAGAACTGGAGTCTCAGTGTACGCCAACTCAGATGTGGTCTTAATTACTGCCAGTTTTCTAATTTGTAAACCAACAGTAATGCTGTCCCAGCCATAGGCATAGGTTCTTAAAGTGGCTGTATTAAGAGCTACCTGGACCTGTCAGAGTGTCGGTAAAGCTACCAAAACTGACAACGGGGCTTTTTTTTTTTTTAAGGCCCATACCACTAGAAAAGTACTGCAAAGCCTTTATTCTCTGGCTTCAATAATTAGAATAACAGACACAGGAGGCAATAATTCAGTAAAGTATTAGAGTCAACCAAATACCATTTCTGGAAAAAGAACTCAGCAACAGCAACCCCTGTGTTTCTGACATGACAAATTTCCTTTAAACTCTGGGCAGCTAGAAAATAATAAACCTTGTTCTGCTTTAACGCTTTACATGCTTACCATACATTGCATGAAGTTTCACCTTCAGGTATCTTTTGCAAACAAGGAAGTTACTGGAGGTCTCACTCTCCCTGTTGGATTTAACATTTATTTTACTTTTAAAGAGAACACAGCTAGGTGATTTAAGTTCTTCCTGCTACAGAAGGACACAGTGGCATCAAACAGTAATAAAAGTACAAAAGCTGAAAAAGCTTGTTCAATATTTGCTGAGAATGACTCAACTATTGAATAGAAACAAAATCTTTCATGTCTGCTGCGGAATTCACAAGATAAAAAGTACTATTCCTAAGTAAAGTAAATATAGTTTCAAATGGCAGTCACAATCATCTGTCCTGTTGGTCTTGTATAATAGAACTTAAAGGGACACTCCACATAAAACACAACTCAGCACTAATTAAACCATAAGAATAGCTGTCTATATACTGTAGGTCTGCATTTGTTTTGTATGCACTGGCAGGCAGAAAAGTCTATGATCCACTTCAGATTTAATATACCATTTAAAATCGAAAGTCTGTTTGTAACATAAGAATTTTTTTGTAGGCTCAGGACTTTATCACCGTGGTCATAGGCTGTGTGATCAGACCAAAGCAGACCCACCCAAATGCAATGCTGGTCATCAGGACAGCTGCTGGCCATGGGGCTCACATTTTATAGCTCAATACAGAAACTCCTGCAGTTTAAGCTCTAAACAAATATTTACCATGTGGACCTAACTTGATGTTATTTGTATGATATTTGCAATTTCTGAATTTTGCCATAATTTAAGTTTTCTTTACAGGATTAATTTCATGAAAGAAACATAGAGCGTGCCATTGCTGAACTCTCCTTTTTCATATGCTAGTTTCCCGACTGTCATGCTGATTAACTGAATAATTTGAAACTCTCACACAGAAGAAGTATGCAAATAAGGACTGCTGATTTCAATCCAACTTTCCTGATCCGCATACTTGTTTCAGGTCCTTTACTCAGCAATACAGCCAAGCAACCAGAATTTTCAAAAAGAAGTGAGCGTGTTTACTCTGTTGACAAGTTTACTTTAAACAAGTTCTCAAGCAAACTGTTGGCGCTACATAAATCCTGTATAATAATATGGGCTAACCAACCTGATAGGATTACCTAATTGTGTACTTTTGCAGCTGAAACTCTGTACAGGTAAATTATTAGATTTCATGATCACCACTCGGGTCTTCTACAAGTTTCCCAGAATGAAATAAATATATATTATTGCAGTTAGGCGTGTGCTTGTCCATAAGCTCCTGCATCATCAGTCATTTATCTGAGGCCTTTGTAGGACAAAAAAAAAAGTCACATGATCTATCTACAGCTCACTTTCAAAAAGGTCATGTGATCTCATATCACAACAGGGGTGATTTATGAAAACTGGTGCAGATGCAGAATTGTTGGCCATACTTATCACATCACCAATCCATAATTCTGCCCCTGTACAGAGCACTGGTTCAGCCACATCTTCTGTATGTGGTTCAGTTTTGGTCACCAATTCACAGAAAGGATGTCCTTGAGCTGCAGAGAGTCCAGAGAAGGGCAACTAAGCTAATAAAGGGGTTAGAAAACCTAAATTATGAGGAACGACCGCATGCATTAAACTTGTTCACTCTTGAAAAGAGGAGGCAGTGGGGACATGATATTAATGTACAAATTATTTAATGGTGATGGGATCATCAGTAATAAACGGTTTATTGTTAGTTCAGTCAAGAAGACAAGAGGCCACCACCTAAAACTGGGAGAGAAAAGGTTTAATCATAAACTGCGAAGGGGATTCTTTACTGTGAGAGCTTTAAAATTATGGAATACCACAGAGAGTGGTATCAGCTGAGAGTATGGAATCATTCAAGACCCATCTATATACTTTTCTCAGTGAACAAGATATACAGAGGTACAGGTAATCTTAGACACAGACAGACAGACAGACACAAGTTGAACTCGATGGACCCGTGTCTTTATTCAACCTTAACAAAGATGTGCCTATCTTTGCTTCATCTCAACTAAGAAACCTTACTGGCTGCCATGCACACTAGCTCCACTGTTGCTCAAGTCTGCTTTCTGACATTTTTTTAGTCTATCAAATTTTAGGAATGTAAAATATATAAAAGAAATCAGGAGAGAAACTTGGGAGTTCATTACTGCTGTAATAATTACCCTTTTTTCACAATATAAGTCAGTGACCATAACATCCAGTTACAATCCCCCCCAAAAAATGAATACCCTTTTCCTAGGCCTTTGTATTTTTTTTAGTAAAAAAAAACAAACCCAAAACACTTTTTTTTTGGGCGCAGGAGCCACCCCACGCTGTACTGTAAATTGACCAGAGAGTCAGAAACTAATTACAGCCTGTAGGGCAGGAAACATCTTCAGCATCAGAAGTGGAGTATTTTTTTTACTCAAAAAAGAGGGCCATGAGGGTATTTATTTTTCGTGGCAAAAACTGGACATTTCAATGAATCCCCAAATAACAAAGCAGGGATAAATTTACCAGCCCTTGAAAATGAAATTTGAGACTATTCAACAATGGCAGCTTGCATAGATCTATCCAGACAGGTTACCTTTATACAACACTCACTCATCAAACCACCTAAAAGACAAATATGCCCAATAACTGGAAGAGGAGCATAGTGCTGAAGTTAGCGTTTAAGTTAAAGCCTGTATCTAATGTGCACCCAGAAATTGGCACTCAAGACAGACTTTAAAAACAGCAGTAACAGGTACCTTGTGCTATGTAAACCACAGCAATAGCCTCAGATTACTTTGTGGATGCTAAAGAGTCCTAAAGAAAACCTGTCATAACAGATTCAAAAAGGTTACCTTTGCTGACCTCCTGAATTCAACTCACTGACCTGGAAAAAATATGCAGCAAGTGTAGACAAAACCTCAGATATGTATATTTGTTTACGGCCAGTGACTCAAGGCATTGGAGCCAAAGAATCAAGGTATTTAAGCCAGAGGGCCAACAGAACAGCCTGGCAACTCCTTTTTAGGAAGGAAGTCAATAATTGCAATCTTTGTACTTCCTCCTGACAAGTCATGTACTCACCACACGCAATAGACCAGTAGACCTGGGAGTCAGGGGTTTGGTGAAGAATCCTGAATGGAGCTACTTTAGCAGTTGAATCTAAAACGGCATCAAGAGTTCCCACAAGAAGACCTAGGTAATAAAAACACAAAAACACGCTATTCATTCTCAGAGCTCTCCATAGCTATGTTAAAATGTAAGACTTAAACATTGCTGCCTATATAAACATTATCTCATCAAGGGGCGAATGTAAAAGCATAATTAAAGGATCAAAAAAATTAATGCACAACTTGTTTGATGTAGAGTCACTAAACAGCATTTATAATTATTTCAGCCTCTTTGTGAAAGGGGAAGTGTGTGCGTGTAAGAATGTATGTGTGAAATCTGTGACTGTAAGAGTGTGTAAAGGCAGAAGCCTATTGATTTCATCTCCAACATTATTCAACCTGGTTTGCTTTAAAACTATTCATAAATAAGACACCTTTCCAAAAAAAAATTGTTTATGTAAAAAGGTACCCATAACTGTATTCAAGCGGACCTTTCGGCCTCATTCACACTGCCGCGCGTATATGCGTGTACAGTACCATATGCAGCATATGCAAATAAATGGCTCCATACACATAGCTGCTTATGGAGCCATATATTTACGTAGCGTAAACATGCGCAAAAACAGAATGGAACCGAGATGCGTCCGGGCAGCGTATATCTGCGTATTTACGTGCATATACGCACGTACAGTTCATTAACATTTCTATTATGAATTATGCATTGTGGGATTGCAAATAGTGCATGCATATACGCTCGTATATACGTGCATGTACGCAATATACAATTTTGCTGTTGTGTGTGAATGAGGCCTTGCCCATATTTTTAACACAATAAAAACACACCTTTATAAATGTTTAGTGATGACAATCTGCAAACACAAACTTCTAGATTATTGCCGGCTTTGTATTCTTTGCATAACTTATTTCTCTTTTCTTACTCAGTCTTCTGACAGTGGCCATGTTTACTAAGGGCAGATTACCAGCTCTCCCTTTACCTTCTGGATTTCTGGCACATGTGACCATGCAATGTGACCATGCAATGTGACCATGCACATCATCTCAGGGGAGGAAAATTCCTTTCCCTGAGATCTCATGAGATTACAGATGACATTTCCCAGCAATGCTCTGCTGGTGACAAGGCAATCCCAGTGTGCATTGTGTTAGGAAACTGAAGTAATTTTGCCCTTTCAAAGCAGGAAGTGAATGCTCTGCAAGTGTAAGTACTTCAAAATCTCATCATTTTACACCTGACATATCTATGTCATTATTGATCATCATACATGGAGGGATGCATTAGTAGAATTTGATTTTGGAGTGTAAAGGTCTGCTTTAAGGGGAAAAATAGAGAAATACTACAAAGTGTGGCAATATAAAAAAAGCAATTTCATATTTCACCAGTCTTCATCATATATGACCTGTCTTTATAATGAGGCCTCTCAATGTAGTTTAAACAAGAGATGTAACTGGCAGATTGTAAAAACTGCAAAGAAATGTGTTCCCTAACAGAGAGGTATTTAGCACAAATGAGTCAAATGTGTATTACAAAAAAATATGCCACGGCGAAGCTGGCATGCCATCCTTTCATGCCTGCCAAACACCACGAGAACCCTACTGTTTCTGCAGCTCTGTAGACACAACACATGCCAGCCTGTATGTTAAACATGAACCACCCACCCGATGTTACAATGAAAATAAAAACACCCCCATGTGTCAGCTGGGATGTGACAATTCCAGAGCACCACTTGTCAATATTTCAGGATACAGTAATCATAAACAATGAATAGCTTTCATTTTAATGGGTACACATGATCCAGCACCATCTAAATAACTGTCAATGATTTATCTTCTAACTCCAAATGTTATGTTGTATCACCCGTTAAAGAGCAACTCAGAATTACAAAACTTCCCCCGCACTGTAAGGGTTAACTGCTCGTTTTGTCTAGGGAGCTCAAATAAAGAAAATACTTGATTCTCAGTCCCACCTGGCTGCTAGACCACTCCCTGCAGCCTCTGCTGCGGCGGTCTAAGGACCTGTGACATCATCACGTCTAATGCAGGTCCACTGACTCACATGTGAGGACACCGAGGGGTATATCACAGCCAGAGCGGAAGGGCAAGAGAGGCAAGTGCTGACTGCCTTAGGACCAAGGAGCATGCGAGTATATCTTCATTATTTGCACCCCTAAAACAAAAACGAGCACTTAACCCTTGCAGTGTTGGGGCAGCCCCACTGCAACGGTAAGTTTTATAAAATCCCAGCGATCTTCTACCTGTTCGGAGCAAAGGAAGAGAGTCACTTTACAGCCCACCCTCTCCGTCTCTGATACTTAACTTTAACACATTCTCCTCTGGCCTGCTCACAGGCCCCATAAAAATCCCAGGATTTTGGGGTATGAGAGAGCTGGTGACTTTCTTCAGTTCCTACCATGATGAAGTGATGGGTGGCTAAGCAGCCAATTGGTGGGCCCAAGCGCGGTCAAATGGGTGATGGACTTCTACTGCTGTGTTAGCTCCAATACAGACCGGCACATAAAGGGCTCGTATGGGGCGCTCTCTGTCACCACCGCCGCCATCTTCTCAGCTGCTTCTTCTGCATCTGACATCTTTTTTCCGTCATTGGATGGCCTCTGATTGCCTTACAGTATCCGGACACTCGGCTCCATTCATAGCATCTTACAGATGCCAAAAGTGGACTAGGAGTGCACTCTGCATTGCAGGCAGTGTACCAAAACAAAATTGCTAGGAGAAAGTGGAAGGATTTCTTTTGACAGTATAGGAATACAAAGCCCCCCCCTCCTCTTACATACTAGCAATATTTGCTGGTTTGTTTTATTTCAGTCCCACTGTAACACAGACATGAAAGCTATTGTTTCATAACACTCCATTCGGTGACAAGAACTACAGGCTATTAAGTATTTACAAGCCCTTCCGGCAACAAACTGTCACAACATTTACTTTTTTAACCCTTAGGTCCTTTAAATGACACCTGTGCTATGGAAAACACAAAACGCTACTTCTCTCTTTAAGACCATGTAACACCCATATTTAGGGTGTAACATGGAGCACGGTGCCATTCCACAGCTCTCCACCCTCAACCTTGTAGTCCATTGATTATTTCCTCCAGCGCATACTCAAAAGGTCCATACCTAGGTAAGGACCAAGGGATGGAGGAATGGCCTGCAGAAGTCTGGGCATTAGACTAGTGACGTGCCGTGCCTTCTGTGCAGAGTGAGGCACCCCCCAGCCCACTGAAGCGCCGACCCGTCAAAGCCCTGCCCCCAGCTCAGTAACCAAGCTATGTGTGGAGGAGACAGGGAGGAGCCTCCCTGTCCCTCACTTGCTCGTCACTGGTGACGCATCGAGATTGATGTCCTCAGTGGGTTTTTTTTTTTGATTGGACAGCTTGGACCAATGGCACTTTGCCATTGGTCCAAGCTGTCCACAGAGCTTACGCCTCTAACACAGATTAGAGGCTGTGACAGCTCTTGCCTCACCAAGTTAGGGAAGCCTGCTGCTGTGTAACCTAACTACCTGTCAAAAGCAGGGTAATTAACAGGCAATGCTCCGTCCATGACAGACTTGAAGCTGACACCTTTTTTCTTCATAATACTAGGTGAGGCTCCTGCCTCATCTGCCTCCCCTGGCCGCACGTCCCTGCATTAAGGTCCCCACATTAAGGTCCCCTGCATTAAATCCCGCAGGTCCCCTGCATTAAGGTCCCCTGCATTAAATCCCGCGATCGTACGATTATCGTAAGGTGTGTGGAAGCCGTGCGACCTCTACTACTGTAAGGTTGCACGACTTTAAACTTACGAACATGTTTGCAAACCCGCCGAGCATCGTACGATGTTCGGCGGGTGTGTAGCATGTTCGTAAGATAAAAGCCGGACGGGCCGGTGTGCGCAAGCGCACACACTGCCCGTTTTGGCATTGCGGTCATCGGAAGCCCGCCCCTCAGGGGGGCATGGCTTGCGATCATCGCAGGTACGATCTGCCAATGCAAGATAGGCAGAGCGTACGTTTTTTAATTACCTTACAACCATCGCAAGACAAAAGTCTTGCGATGGTTGTAAGGTGTGTGCCCAGCATTAGACTCACAATCCACTAATTGCCATTGCAATGCTTTGCAGGCTCCAATGCAAACAATATATAAATGCACTTTTGTTTTTACAATATATGTGCATTCATTGTTTTCCAAAAAGTGGAATTTGCCTTGAAGATTTTCAATGCTGACTTTTACTTCATGAAAATGCTAGTACCCTGGCTATCATGCTGATCCAGTTGTTCAGTACTTTCTAGGTGTTTACATATTATGCTATAATCAATGTGTACTTTGTTACTCAGATATTCTTATGAGACTGTAAGATTGTATCTTTGAAATGCGTTGTCACCCTTACTCCACTGTACTATCAACCAGGCAATTAGAATGTGCAGAATGAGAAGTCGGCAATGAGGTCTCTATGCTTTTATTAGAGGTGCACATATGGCCAAAACTTTCCTTGTACCAGATAGGTAGATTCACCTTCTCCATTTGTCCTGGTTGACATTGTCCTCAAGATGGAAATTGATGGGAAATCCAAGAATTTTAGAGTTGTCACCGGAACAGAAAAAGCAGGAAGATCTTCTAATAAAGACACTTATTTAGGTGACAGCTATGAGAAAAGGGAATTGCCTCGCTTTGTACGGAATTCCTTTAACTTCTGGTTGTATCTCTGGAACAGGCAGCAGAGGGGAATCTCTAAAACTAGACAAAAGACACCAAAAAGCACCGGACATGGGTTCTAACCATCCCCTACTCCATCCAAAAGTAAAAAGATATTTTGTCTGGAGATGCACTTTAAAGTGGTT